ATAGGCAGGGCTAGGATTTGTATGCAACAGCGTGTTTTTTATGAGACTTCTGATTATTGATTTTGCCAGTTATGTCCACGAATCACCTCATGATGAGATAAATGATGGTGTTTTTATTTTGCATGTTTTTGCATATTTTGGAAAAATGCATATTAATGCATATATTGAATAAAATGAATATTATTGCATTATTCGATCATAAGAATGCGAAAAATGCATGTTTTATAGTATACTTCCTAATTAATATTTATAATTTAATTATAATAAGTAAATTTTATTTTTATTAATACAATCATATGGATCAATAGGTATGCGATTGAAGATTGAATAGTTTAACGGAGAAAGATCATTCATTTTCGAAAATTTAAAAGAAAATGTGGTCATAGCATGTAATACACGTAGTGAATGTGAAGTATAAATTTCATTTCTTAAATTATATTATACTAGTATTAAGACAAACAGCCAACCACTGATGTATTTCAATAAATAAATATTTTTTTTGTAACTATCTATATTTTTGTGTTTATCTCATAAAAATTAAAATGCATATTTTACAATTTTTTATTGCATACAAATCCTAGCCCTGATCATAGGTAGTACTATTGCGTTTGTGCGATTTGCGGAGAAAAGGACAAACTCATGAGTCTTGAAATAATTTAGGAAATTTTTTGGCGATTTGAATCACATATAATATTATTTCAAATACTATTTTGGTACAATATGTCTCTAACTTAGACCATGCACAATACTTATACTAGGTGCGTACCTGGATCATACATTTACAACTATCTATATATAACATGCATTGAGTGGCCAATGTTTTTTTATGGGAGATTATTACAAAAACCATCGTTAAGCCTTATCTCAATAAAAATTTTAAAAGGTACTTTGTTTTAGAACGCATCGTATTTTAAATGATTTGTTTTTATATTTTGAGCTTTAAGTTATAATAACTTAATCATGAACATTTTTGTAGAAAAAAATATAATTGATGTTTAAGAGGAGTGTATTGTGTATTTCACGCTATAACTATAAATTGTTTAATAAATTATCCTGTGAACATTATAGTCCCACTAGTATTTATACCGATCCACGCCCAAGAGCATGCGTGTGGCATATCACAACAAATCGTCGTGGGTCGTGAAAAAGAGGAAAAAAATCTATATCCGCGAAATTCGAAATGCTCGTTCGCGGAAAACCCGCTGGTTTAAGGTCGTCATTTTTTTTTTAACTCCTACTATAAACACAATTTTTTCACTGCAGCACTGTATATATAGGTACTGCGGACAAAATATGACGATCCGATCTACCACGCCACTCTGCATGTTATTACACCTCCACGACGATACACTAATATTTACATATAGTAATTATAGGTATATACACTATTATTGTCATTGTGATAAAACAGTTCCGGGCCGTCGGTAATTATTGTCACGGGATAACATTATAATAAATTATATTGTACGTGCGCATACATTAAAAAACTAAAAAAACATGATATATTGTAGTCGGCGGTCGCGTAAATCGATAATAATCATGTCGATGATTTTTTTCACAATATTAAAATATGTTTTACTTGCAGTTGCACGCGTGCTCGACTTTGACTCGGCTAATACTGATATACTCGCGGGTATATGGGTAGTATATTATAATATTATTTAAATATTTATTACTTATTACATACATACATATTATATAATA